AAGCCTTGCTTTCCTTTTTTTCACTTCAACCCAGGAGGAGTATAGTTGTTTTCTCTGGTACAGGATAAGAAGCTGAAAGAGTCAATTTATCAATTTATCAATGTGTGGCGATGGATGTTAACTAGACTTAACTGTGGCAATCATTTCACAATAGATACATACATTAAATCATTATGTTGTATACTTGAAGCTAATATGTTATATGTCAATTACATCTCAAATTTAAAAAAGAAAATTGAAGAAGTCAATTAGAGAGTGCTATCAAACAAGGTGGTACAAAGTATATGGATACACGGCCTTCGTTAATGGATTCATCCCTAAGATTGTCTTTGGAAGAATCCTGTCTCTTTTGTTGACTGATTTTACTTTCCTTGTTGTGGGAGAAACTAAACCTAACTGATATGAACTAAAGCTCCTGACGACGACTCTCTGCCCTTCTACATGTCCAGTACATTCAGAGATGACTATCTATCTCTAGTAATATAAGCAACCCAACTTTTAATACTTTGCCTAATGGTTTGCTCAAGAAAGAAACTCCAAACGCTTTAAGTTCATGTCTGTCAAACTGAGGGAAGCACAACCCAGGGCATGTACCTGACATAGTGATGACATGCAGAAAGCCAATGAATGGACACTACAGATATTTAGGAAAAAAACATTTTTAGAGTCAAGTGAAACAGTTATATTATAGAACAGAATGCAAACTTTTGTTCATTTCTAGGACAAAGCATAAAAATTCAAATAAATGTCGAGCTTACTGCAGCTGCCTTTTGCTATGGTAGGCAGGTCCTAAACGGTCAGCCTCTCCACTCACCTTTGAAGCTAAGTGGAAACGTTTGAGAATCATTGCCTTACGTAATTACCTAGGTCTCTCTCAGCTTCCTACCTCGGATGCACACACCAGTCATGACTCTAATATCTATGCAACATGAAATAAACTAGGAAGAAAAACCATAAGAGATAAGCAACAAAATGATGGAAATAATATGTATTTTATTTTGCATTCAAACTGGCTTTTAATTCTAAAAGTAGTAATTCTTTCCCTACTAATTCAAAACTTAGTCTTGGCAAGCTGGAATTAATAAACAACTATTGTTCCTACTGCAATGTCTTACAAATCTGGCACATGTACACTTTACGACTCTTACCAAAACTTCCAAAAAATTAATGTGGTTCATTCACTTAATGAGACATACAATTTAGCACTTGCTGTTCCCTCTGCCTGGAACACCCTTCCCTTCACATCTCTACATTGCTGATTCTTTCTCAGTCTTCAAATGCACCTCTTCAGAGAAACTTTTCCTAACCATCCCACCTAAAGTAGTCCCTTCTTAGTCCCTCTATCATTATGCTATTATCCTATTTGTTTATTTCAAAGCCATTACCACAGTTTCAGTCACCTGATAATTATTTACTTTTATATCATTTGTCTGCCTCTTCCTAACAGAATGGGCCAGAACCTTATGTCGTATTTATTGCCACATCCCCATCTCTACTGAGTGCCAATCAATCAATATTTGTGAATGAAAGACTGCTGCATAATATTTAGAAATTAAAAAAACAAAACAAAACAGGCATTTCTCACAGACTTTTAAAACTCTAAAAAGTCAGACTGTAGAGTTGTTGTAACTTAGCTCTCTTTTCTTACAAACCTAAAAAGAAATTCAAGCTCAGCAACTCCCCCCAAATCCTTTTAGGGTTACAAATTTGGGGTGGAGCCAAGAGTAGTCTTCATTTCCCTACACCCACTCCAGGGAGCTTTCCAAACCAAGCTGTTGTTGTTTCTTCTAGTTTCACTTTATTAGTCCTACAGGATGTATAAACAGTGTTAAACACATGTGAAAACCAATTGTTCGCTTTTCCCATAAACTGCCCCCCTTTTTTGCCAACTCTAGTGGAGCATTCACATGCTAAGGAGGGTATCCTGTATGTCATGTGCAGAAGAAAGGCAATCCCATTACAATTCAATTCTATTCCACAGCATGGCCTGTGGGCCTCACCTCTGCTGCTAACATGGCCAGAGCAGCCACCATATTCACTAGTAAAGTGTGTTTTGAAACCAACAGAAGAAAATGCTGTACACATTAACATATCACACATCCAAAACATTAATTTAACAAATACGTAATTCAGTAGTTATGCCTATATTCCTCAAAAAGATCAAATTTAAACTCAAGTAACCAAAAAAAAAAATTAAAAAAAAAAACAAATAAGAAACGCCTACAAAAGATAAAGGGTCACATAAGCAAGTACCATAACAGTCACAAATCCACCGGAAACTCCTAGGGAAGGATGTGGTTTACTGATCTGGAATCAGACCTGTTGGGTTGTCAGAAAAGTCATGACGCATTTTTGCAATGAAAAACATAGGAAAAATACATCATGACTTCTCCGAAAACCCAACATTTGGCAAGCTCACAGGTAGCAGATCACTAAGCCACCATGTCTAACATAAAACATTTCTCCCTAAAATAAACAGGAGCCTCAAGAAACAACTTCTTTCCAACCTTCCGTAACTTCTGAGTGTTTTGTGGGAGCTAGGTCAAGGCCACCGCACTCCACTGCCCAGAGCTCTCAGGCTTGAAGTCATGGCTCACAATTCACCTCCCCAGGATCCAAGGGCAGATTAACCCAAGTCACCGTCTAACCCTCCAGCGCATGGCTGACTCATTCTTCTTGGAGCCAGGACATTTTCATTATCTCAAAGCTAGATGTTTCTTCATTGTATGTGTACGCCTACCCTATCATTTTTCAATGTAAACTGAGAGCCCAGGGCCCTGCTGGTTTGTTCACACAGGCCCAAACACCAGTCTCTATTTTCCAAATAACCTAACCGAGAATCTCGCTCCCGGACATGATGATGCTGAAATCAAATTCATGCTTGTGCACAAAATGTCTCACTGTGCTCAAATTTCTCAACCAAGAACCAAAATTACTGGTAATACTGGCCAATCTATCTGTATGCATTCATGCCATAATGCTATTAATTCTGTACTTTTTAAAAAGAACATGAGATTACTTTTAAATTAAACAAGATGACAGTACTCAAATAATACAAATCCAGACATGGATAAATCATTAATCCGACTAGTTACAAAGTTTAGAATATTTACTCAAGCATGAGACAAATGTTATTAGGAGTCGGTGGATAACATTACAGTATTTTTAAAAACCTGTGCCAAATGTGTATATAGAGCAATATTAGGAAATAAGTAAGTAGCTAAATAGTTTATCTGCACCCAAGACATAGTACCCTGTTTCGCTCCCAAAGACTTCTGATAAAAACTAAAGCAGATGCAGAAAATTGCAATCTTATATACCTCAAATTTCTAAAGAAATCCATTTGGTTATACGTATGTTCCAAATAGTCACAAAACTCACTGATCATCATCAATTACATGGCTAGACAGTCAGACAGATTTTTAAGTCAAAATAAAGCCACATGCTCAATGCTTTGTAGTAAAAATCAACGTTATCCAACTCTTAAGCAAGAAGTATTTTTTATTATTAAGTTCTTATGCTTTACATAAATTAATAAAAACTTATATTCTGAGTAGTATTTAATAATCTAATATTCTGAAAAGTTCCACTTGCACATTATTAGCCCATGGGTCCCAAATGTACTGATTACTACAAAACCTTGTATTTCATTCAAGCTACTGCTAAGAGGAATTTAGACAGGAGTAAATAATAAATTATTAGTAATTTAGATAGACATTTAAAAACCCTATTTTAAAAGTTAACACAATGTGGAATTCCAAATCACTCTGTTAAAGCAAAATTCCTTTTAGTAGTTGCACTAATGTGCTATTCTGGAAAAGCTGACAATGCCAGGCACACGGTATATGCCCTGAAACTGTTAAAAATGACCTTCATCTACATGGGCTCACGATGAGTTGGGGCTTCAGTCTGAGCAAGAAGATAATAACATCACACTACTGTGCTGCATCAAATTAAGTCAAGCCATGTGTACCTCACACAGTGGCCACCTTCTGCAGTGTTCATTCTATTGTTTCAGGCAAGTATAACCTTCAGCTCCACCAAAAATACTACAAAAAGGTGAGTGAACAGACCTTCCAAGACTTGTGTATGACATTTCAATAAAGAGCTCTGTGTGTGTGGCATTCTTAGGTATGAAAAATAATTTGAGTGAAATAAGTCAGCATATCCATTTAAGCTACCAATTAATGTAGCGGCAAAAAGGTCCAGAGAAAAACAAAACAACTTTGGGAAATATGAAGTTGGCAGGCTAATTGTTGTTGAAAAAATATATTGTAAAATATCTACCTTTTCCCATAATCTGCATCCTGCAAATTACTTACCCAAATCACTGTCAAGATTATAGATCCTGTCTAAGAATTTTGTAAATCCCTACTCTGAAAATAAACCTATCAACATAAATTAACTAGAAACTTCCTCCTTTTTGGTTTTCGGACATGGCAAAATTTCGATTAGACAATTAAATATCTTAATGAAAATAGGAAAACACAAAATTATCCCCAAACTAGGATATGAAGGTATTCTTATTCCATATAAAATTACTGTGAAAATTAATGTAACACATGTAAATAGGTATCTAATTTTACTAAAGTGATTTATTTTGACAATAGCTCACACTGACTTTTTAATTAATATGGAAGATCAATAATGCACATATATCTTTATATGTGACAAATTTATATATAAACATACCGTCAAAAAATACCCACACACAAAATAATGACAACTATGTCAAGTATACCCAATTTAGAAAGAATAAGAGGGACTATACAAAGTTGAAAATACTAGTTGTGTATCAGAATAGTTGCATGATGGGAATATTTTTCTTCATTCTTTTGTAACATAATTATAGTGCTTTTAAAATTAAAATATATTTTTTGTTTTGGTTATACACATAAAACCACTACATAATTTAGAGATATTAAATAAAACTAAAATATAATTTCTAAATAAAACCACTATGTCATTTGTAAATTCATCTAAGCATGAAATCCACATACCTGAGCCAACCTCTTTCTCCTCTTCTTCAATGTTGTTTCGGATGCTATCATATTCTTCATCAATGGTCTGGTTACCACGCATCTGAGATAAAATTCTACGGGCCTTCTGAGTCTGTCCTTTCTGAATAAGCCATCGAGGGCTTTCAGGTAAGAAGAGAAAGCCAAAAAACTGTATAACTGCTGGAATGGCTGCAAGTCCCAACATGTACCTGCAATAAGAAATCCATATATTATTGTAAACTTTGGTCTTATTAGCACTACATTGGGAATAATAGTTAAGAGTTAATGCAGAATGATTTTCATTCAATTATATGCGTATATGTGTGTGAGTCACCAAAAAAAGGGGGTACTTTTAAGCTATAGTGAGAAAATGAAAAATGAGAAAAATCTGATTCTTCTCTATCTCGCACAAATTACAATGAAAAAGAATGGACCAAAGTCACAATTATGTATATGCATTCTAAATGAAACACATCATGCATAACATTGCAATAACCATCCCGGTACAATACTAGTATCTGTAATTCTGTACTCTACAATACAAAATGGGATTAAGACAAAACTCTGATTTGTTTAAGAGATACACTTTTCATTAAAATAGATTTCTTTACAGTTGTTTCTGCTCTGTGAATGATTAGTTATGATTTCACTCTGCCATCAAGCATCATGTTCACCCTCATAAATAGAAGCCCATAGCAGAGAAAATGATCAGGTCAGAAGCAAATAATAATTATTAAAAGGATAGATGTGCAAAAAAAAAATGCTCATGTTTTATTTGTCATCTTTCAATGTCTATACTTAATGGCTGGCAAAATTCTACATAGCAAATAAGTATATCGTTTTAAATTCACCAGAAAAAATAACAAAAGTAGTAATATCAATACATCAATATTAAAGATCTCTCCAAATTATTCTGACCACTGGACTGATTTCCTAATATCTCTAAGACTCAATCTTTTTTAACTGAGGGGTTCAATTAGATAAACTTCAAGGTCTTTTTCAACTGAAACCTGTGAATCTAGGACACCTGGATGTTTTCTGTTGCTCCAAGTTCCCTGGTATGTTCCATGGTAGACTCATGATGGTAGCGCTCAGAAGGCCAACTCCAAATACTGAACAGCCATGCTCACTGGCACTCATCATCCAGTGAGAAGTCACTTGACTCAATACGCTTTTCAAAGCTATTCTGACTTTTAAGCTACGTTAAACTCCAAGTATAGCAGCCTCAAAGGCTACGAATATATGTATCTTGTGAAAAAAGTCCATTTTTTTCAAGTAATTTTATTTTAATTCTGAAACAGCAGGAAAGAAAATGTAATTGTCACATGCATGTTAATAATTCCTAGTCCAAACAATAGCTAAAACCACATGTGGAAACAGAAAAATTAACTAAGAAAGTAAAGAAAGCGTTTATGAGTAACTAACTGAATGAATCACTTGATTTACAGTATTAAAAGAAATCTGTTTCATGCTTTAATCCGTGGACTATGATAATTACACCAATACTGAATCACTCCTCCCTCTGTTCACCCACAAAATACAACGCTTTAACCTCAATTTATGTCTCTGTACCTTGCATTACAAGAAAGTATGTACCTGTCCCACTTGACTACACACTTAACTTTGTATGCAGCTCCTACTAAAGTATGTTGAACACAGTAGGCACTTAGTAAATGTTTTATGAAATGATGCAAAAGCAGCTATATATCTCAACTTTCTATATTGACTCAAGAGAAAGTAACTATGCTTCATAATCATACAGTAATATCTTATACAGCAACTCTTCTGGACCATTTAGCTCTGCAAACTTACTTGCACAGTGATTCCTGACAATAAAACCATTTGTTATTCTAGATACAACTAGATCTTCTCTTTTGAAGATGACTCATCTGAAGACTTCCTAAGAATCTTCAGATGAGCCCTAGAGAGATCAGCTCAGGCAAAGGCATATTTCTGGCCTCTTCCCCTTAAGATGTTAACTTATATAACCAAATCTATTATTTAAATGTATGTTTTATTGCTATAAATGAATGAAATTTCTATTTGGTTGTATAGTTTCTTAGAGAAATGCTTACACATAATTATATTGCCAATTATTAAAAAGAAAAGCGATAAAATGGTAAACACCAAATATACTGGATTAGGAAACAAATTTTACAAGTCCTAAAGATGAAAATTTACATTTTGTTTCTCTACACCTTTCATGATCTTTCCTTCTGTTCTCCAAACATCTTTAGTGATGAATTAAGATTAAAGATCTGCACAGAATACTTCAAAGAAGCACTTGAAATGAATATAGAAATTGAATCATTTTCAGATCCAAAGAAGCTCATATAATACTTTGTACTTTACTGCTCACTATTTAATCCTAGAACACAGTATTTTTAAAAACTAAAAGGAAAAAGAAAAATTAAAAAACAAAAACTAAAGAAAAATGCAAACATACATATTAGCTTATGTTTCTTAAGCCAGCTACAGAAGACAGAATACTTTAGCCCTCCAGCATTTGAAATCCGTAAATTCCAAGAGTCTAGGTCTGAAATTTATAAGTCAGTGCTCTAATACCAGGATGAAGAAAAGGAACTTGCACCCTGCTGCCAACCTTTAAGGATGGCTAAAACTGATTCCAGGGATTAGTCAAGATAAAATGCTTTATACATTTGCATCCCAATGTTTCTCTCCTAAAAGTAAAACAAAGGAACTTAGTTGACTTTGTTTTAATTGCCTTTCATGATAAAAATATTTTGATACGAATAAATTGTCAAGGCTTTGTAGACAGAGGCCAAATACACAAGATAGCGGGTAGCTGTGGTTTATGATGGAGAAAGCATAGGAACAGATCTGGGTCACATTTCAGATCTGGGTTTACTAACCACAAAATTCTGGTCAAGTTACTTAACATTTTAATGCACAGGTGACTGTCTATTTCATAGGACTGGTGGGACAATTAAGTGGAATCATCCAGTTGGTATCTAAAATGGAGAAGATGCTTAGCAAAAAATATGTTTACCTCCCTGACTCCCTCTTTCCTCAATAAATTCAATGCAACCTGTCTATCTTGGCTCTATCATCCACTCCAACTTTTGGTAGGTAGAACTAACAACCAATTTCTTTCTTGAGGAAAAAACCATTACTCTGATGATGTGCAGACTGCGGATAAATAAGAGGCTGCTTTGATGTTGTACTGATGAAAATTTTATCGTGAGACTAAAAAGAGCAGGAACTCTCTAGCCTTAGTTAAGGCAGTATTAGGGACTCGTTATCAGTCCTCTACAAGGAAATCAGGAACAAGATAAAAGATAAAGAATGTACTGATAGGGCATAGAGTATACAGATAAAGCAGGGCAGTCAACCCCAAACAAGTAGTCCCCAACTAATATGAGGGGTCTCATTATTATAAGTTAAATCAAAGGTTTTAAACCCCCACTTCACATTAGAATCACCCAGGGGACTTTTAAACACACCACTGTCCAGGCTCTACCCAACACAGGGATTTTAATTAACTGGTCTGGGCTCCAGTCCCAAGAGATTCTATTTTATTAAAAGCTCCCTGGGAGGTGCTCACGTGCAGTCAGGGCTGAGAACCACTGATCTAAGTGTTTTAAGAACTCTAGGTGAAAGGAAACAGTAAGCACCCAAGGTCCACATCTTAGGCAAAAGCCATTATCTCCTGGAGGCAAGAGAGCACACCAAGCTGACAAAAGTGGAAAGCAGGTTGACTCTAGCAAAAATGCCAAGCTTCCATGAGGACTGAAAATCGTTAGAATGTTAGAAAGATAGCTTTTTAAACTTTCTAAACTCATGTTAACAAATAAGCCATTTTCTGGTCCAAGTAGTAGTACCAGAACCTGCCTATCAGAAAACTGAGGAGGGCCCCTCAAACAGTGAGCAGTACTTTCAAATGGTGTGGTTGGGCCGCCCCAGGTCAGACAAGCCCAGCTCTTCGACCTCAGGTTAAGTCTTCTTCCCAGTGTCAAGAACTGAAGCTCTGTGAATCAAACATCCTGCATTTCCGGGTGCCCACCCTCCCCACCGCGGCTGAGCAGGCTTGCTGCTGCTGCTGCCATCAGAGGGCCGGTTCCTCACACAAAACCAAACAAGCCCTTCACTGAATGTTTGCCATCATTCTTGTTCTAAAGGAATCTGACTGCTCTCACCTATGAAATTGAAGACAAGCATCCTCTAATAGATGGTCGTTAAAAATTGTCCCCTTTCTCTGAACTGGTTACATGGTTATCGGATAACATGGACTACTGAAAACACGATAAACATGTCACTGATTCTCTAGTAGTTCCACAAGGGTGATGATTATGTTCCAAGTACATGAAAATCTACCTGAATGTACAAACTCATCTTGAACATGTAATTATTTAAAAACGATAACAGCAATAGTAATAGCTAGCACACAGCTCTAGCTGCCAGGCACTGTTCAAAGGGCTTATGATACCTTAACTCACATAGCTTCACAACCTTATGCAGTAGGTACCATTATTATCCCCATTTTAAAGAGAAATGAACTACAAAGAATACAGAACTCATATACAGTGGAAGTAGGGTCAAAATCTAGGCAGTCCGGTTCCCATAATAGATGTTTATTGTAAGTCAAGCTACAATAAATATTTAATGATTAGTTAAGTTAATTCTGCAGAATTCATTAAAGAGGACATTAATTTGCCTTGGTCTCATCTTTAAAGATTTTGAGGGTCCCTTTAGAAGTTTTCTTGTTCACGCACCTCTGTTAATGCAGTAAAGCACTGCAGGGCTTTAACTGGGCAAGGGACTGCAGGGAGAGCAGTCACCCCTAATCGCACCAGGCCCAACCTGACATGGAAACACCCACTCGGCTGGGAAACTGTGGACTCGATATAACCAGTACAGTCCCACTAGTGGCAAATGGAGTATCTTATTATTCTCCTCACACTAGCGTGTTACTATGAAAATAGCTAAATATTAGTTAAAGGAAAATATCTCATTTGTAAGGGTAAACATGTACTGCCTGTTTTGGACACTGTGCCAAACTACATTTTTATTTTATTTTTATTTAACATACATAAGGTAAACTTTTCATGTAGGAAAAACTATA